CTTTTTGTACAAAAGCCTTCAAAAACCATACTTATAGTTACACTAGCGAAAAATCCAAAGAGATGGCGTCTAACGCTTACCTCTAGTACCAAATTAATTAATAACGTAATCATTAATAAGAGCACTTAATTAGCCCGATTAGTTAAGGAGAAAGTTTGGTTTAGTATTTACAGTATTGTACAGTAGAACTTCGTTTAACGAGCACCTCGCATAACAAGCAAACGAAATTATAAAAATCACTCGCTTAACGAGCAATGTTTCGCATAACGAGTGACAAAGATAGGGATAGTTTCTTATTGTATGCATGCTCTATCAGTCTGTGTTCAGCGCTCGTTCCTCTATAATCTTAGTGTTGCTTGTGATTACACATTTTTCTAAACTTGTGTTCACACATATTACGTATAAACATCAACAACCATAGCCCGTTTTATAATAAACACGCTAAACGGTATGCCAAATTCTAGGGCTATGTGAAAGCTATAATTAAATATTAGAAATTAATTATTTCTAATTATTAAATTTAATACGATATGGAAGCATAACTGCCTACCTCTAGTCAAATTAATTAATTTGTAATATTAAATTATAGCCTTCACGTATCCCAAGAATTTGGCAGATCGTTTGGAGTGTTTATCAGGCATTATCAGTGATTTTTTTTTTTGTTTTTGCAAATAGAATTCGCATTCCATATTGGTTTGTTCCGCGCTAGAAAAAAGCATGAAGATGGTTCTTGCGATAATTATTTTCTTTGAATAAACGTCATACATAAAATATTTGAGTGTTTCTTTGGCATGGAATGCATTACAGTATTTTACATTAATTTTTGAAAAAAATTGTTTCGCTTAACGACAATTTCACATTACGAGTAAGATTTTGGAAAGAATTGTGCTATAAAATTCTAAACATTTAAACGTTTAGTTCTTAATTTCCTAGTTTATTTGCAACTCTAACGAATCGCTTTANTATGACTTTTAACCAAGATAATATTCCTGTAATTAGAGAATACGTGTTGAGTTTCATGAATAATTTTATGCAATATTTTATGTAGAAAAATTGGTAATCTATAAAGTATTGTATTAACCAATGACTTATTCAATTTCATACGAACTGCTCTCTTGACTGGGATTTCTCAAACGAGATTTTGGTTGCTTTTTTTTAAGGCAGCCGAAGTAACAAATTAAAAATACTAGAGAGGAAAAAAAGTAGAAATCTACCAGGCTACAGGTGAAAAAACACAACTTCTCTTAAATGCATTAAACACGATTCTACTCACATCAATTGAATCGGAAAGGGAATTCTCGGTAGCAGGACTTTTCACTATTAAAATAAGAAACGGATTGAATGATAGGAGTGTTGGCTATCTTTGCTTTTTAAAATCTTATTTTAAAAATTTAAATAAAACACAATACAGAATGTTACTCTAAGTAGATATAATTTTCAATTGAATATTATTCAGTTTTTTGATGAGAAGAAACAGTGATATCTTTATGTAGATGTTATACATTCGACCCTCTCTATAACACGGGTTCCTATACTTCGGATTCCTATATCACGGCGAGAAAATTGCGACAGTATTCGTACAAACATGCTAAAAAAACTCCTATAATTCGGTAAAACGTCATCGCCGACTCGTGTCGCGACATGATTGCACAAACCGTTGAGTTTAAACGAGCAGCGGATCTGCTAAAAAAAATTTATTATTTAACGTCCATAAAAAATTATATTTATATTAATAATGTTTCTAAGTTCAGCGAATTTTTCGCAAAAAAATAATTTATCAGGAAGCACGCGAGCGCCATTCGATGACAATCTCCAGGACGAAAACAAGCTTAAGCAACGGCGTAGTCGAACGGTGCACACTCGGTAAATAATCCTACAATTTTTTGTTTATAGCATTGTTTATATGGATTGTTCGCAAAAAATTATACGTATTTTAAACATGTTTAGTCGAATTAGTCTAGAATAGATTAATTTTATGGAAGAACCTTTCAAACAGCCGTAGTCCGTAAACTGCACATGTGTCGGGCTGTCATTGGCTGGACTCGTGGAAGATGAATTCATAAAAACCGGAACGTATCTACCATGTTATAGAAGGGTCGACTGTACAGCTTATGTTGTTTAGTGATGCGTAATACCAGTAGAGTCCCCTATAACACTGTAGATAATTCCGTGTTATATGAATTTCATGTTGTACGAGTCACTTAGATTCTACAAATACGTGTGCCGGAAAGTGAACGGCTTACGTATTTGTAAAATCTAAGTGACTCGTACAACATGAAATTCATATAACACGGAATTATGTATAACACGTAATTTTAATGGTACAAGTTTTTTTTGCTGTTCTCGCTGACAATTTCATTACTGTGGATTACTGAAGGATTGAGACGGATAAAGTAAGTTGTTTCTTTGTTTATTGTATTTGATTGATTATTTTAATTTATTATTCGAATTAACCTTTTTTTTTTTTTTGTTTCAGGGATATACTTATTGATTCTAAGAAGTCTGGTCGTTGTCACCGTTTCTTCAATATAGTTCTGATAATTTTTCAAGTTTCTATCTTTCACGTTACATTATACCAGGCTTTTAAAGGTATCTCCAAAGTTTCCAAAGAAAGAATGCTACCGGAAAATTGATTGTTAGACAATAACGTAGAGTTGTAACTCTCTTTTCGAAAGAAAGAATGTTGCTTCAATTTACGATTCGAAATAATGTGAACAATTTTTTTAGACGAATTTAATCATTTTAAATACATCTTAAATGATTGTTTGAAATTTGACAAACGATTTCTTGTAGCGCGTTTTATAATTCTTGTAAGTACAGTAAATAGCTCTAATGTAGCATAGAAGCTTTTCATAAATGTATGTGATGAATTTTTAAGACAAAAATGTTTTATTGCACTTGTTTTAAAAATTATTTGGTTGTATATTGGTCTGTATTCACTGTAAGGATAATACTTTCTCCAGAACGTTTGTACTGACAAATTATCTCGACACTAAATAAAACTGGCAGATTACACACCTCATGCAGTGTATATGAAATTTGAGATCGATTATAAAAAGTTCTAACGAAACGAAACTGTTCATTAACCACTATATATTAATAGTATAGTATATAATTATACTACCGTTCACTTTTAGAATTTATTTAAAATTTTCTAATTAGGGTGAATTCTCTGGTTTCACATATGTGACTAGAGAGTCGGTACCTGGAATGTATGACCCATTTAGATCATACATTCAAAGAATACTCTTGAAATATTAATTAATAATAAATAAATTCTTATATTTACTGATTTCTTGTGTATATATAAATGCAGTCTAACACATCTAAGTTCATTTTGATACGCGCTTCTTGTCCTTCATTACTTATACACTCACTAGCCAATTAATTAGAAACCTCATGCATATTAAGTAAAAGTTATTTTGCAGCTTATATGCAAAACACTTAAGTCGTATGAGTCACAATGTGTTCAGAAGCTCCTATTTAAGAATGCTGCTGGTCAATATAGTCATTAAGTTTATTAAAATGGGAAAGGCGAAGAACTTGACAGTTTCAAAAAGGGGTAATTATAAGTATCTGTCTCACTGGACCCACGATTTCAAGAACTGTAGAGCTGACTGGTTTTTCCAAAGACGAGTTATCCATAGTGTTTAAAATAAATGAATTAGCCCATTTTTTATCATGTTATTTTCCATGTTATTTTATATAGCCTTTGAGAAATTTTATTATTATATATGTATTTATTTTTATTTATTTATATTTGGTTTACTCTGAAAAAATTAAACAAATAACTTAGAACTGTATGTTTGAGTTGTTTTATTAATATGAAATTATTTATTATTGTTTTTAAATTTATGTAAATTTGAAATATTATAACTAAATTAAACACCAGAACACTTGCTGAGCTTACTGCAATTTAATATTCAAATGCTTTCAGCCTATTCTTATAGGCCATCCTCAGGAAATTATAGTTCCACAAACGAACACAAAGCTTTGACATTTCGTATTCTTATAGAAAAGATTTTATACTAGGCCGGAGGAAGTGGCGAAATCAATAGTACAGTGCTTACATTTGGAAATGAAAAGGATATAAACGGATTGTGACTTATTACTTTTTTAAAAGTGATAATGGATTATACGTCTGAAATCAGTGGGAGCCTCAGAAATGATTTCCCATTATATTTCGATGGCATATCGACTAATAATTTGTTGATATTTTAATTATTTTACCGTATTTCTTTTTGCACCTAAAATGTATGACAGATACCCAGGATATGTTCAACTAACATTATGTATAAATTTTGTATATTATTATTTTACTTCACTANAATTATTTTACCGTATTTCTTTTTGCACCTAAAATGTATGACAGATACCCAGGATATGTTCAACTAACATTATGTATAAATTTTGTATATTATTATTTTACTTCTCTAATCGACAATAATTAATTATTGAATAGTGCTTGTGTTTAATGAGTCTTGAATTTCATTGCAAAAGCAAAGAATGTTGTCCAAGAAGCTAAGGAAATTTAAACGCACAATACAGAAAAAAATAATAAATTGTGTTTAAATATATCTCCAGTTTTAATTTATTGAAGTATCAAAGAATAATTTACCTACAACCAATATTTTTTAGAAGTTCGATTTACTTCAGGAAACTGATAAAATTCGTTTCAAAATACATTTTCATAATGGAATGTATACCGAAATTCGTGTATTAAAATTAATGAAATTTAGCATTTCAATAATTGCTATTTAATACACTTTAATACACTAAATTTTTCACGAAATTTTGTTAAATAAAACTGATGTAATACAAAAACTAAAATATTCATATATAATTGACAAACACGCCTCAATATTAATATTACTGTAGTATTATTATGTAAATGACAATAATTCAAACTGGAAATTTAAGGAATTTGTTGGATCGTGACCCGTTTCGTAATTATCAGGCCCGATTGTGATCCAGAAGTATCAAAGCAGATTTAACTCGAAAATTGAAATATTTAAATAACTAATCAATACGCGTTTTAACTAAATACAGTAGAGCGTCGATTATCCGAAACGTGAATTATCCGAAAAAATTCCAGTCGGCAAATTTAAATTTTTGCCAGAGCTGTGGCGCTGCAATCTTTGGCTATGTCTTGGGTACTGAAATATTTTACGTTTTTGATACTAAATTAACTATTGAAGTATAATTTTTTATTGTTTTTATATTTTTCAATATATTTATTTTGTTTGTATAAAATAAAAAAATAATTTTTAACGATGCAATTGTCTTCGTTAGGCTTAACATCGAAAAAATTCAACGCGAAGCGACACGCAACGGAAAAAATTTCAACATGAGGTAAATTAATACGTTTTTCGTACATAATCGGTTATCCGAAAAATAAATTATCGGAACAACCTTAGTCCCCAATTGATTCGGATAATCGACGCTCTACTGTAATCATATACTTATAGATATAATATTTCGTTCAGCAGGTTCAATAACCAAAAATACTATTTATTCAATTCATCTACATATGCATTTCGAATTGACATAAACTCTAACCTTCTTCAGTGTTGTATAGCGTACTTTTTACGTATTCTTAAAAAAACAATAGATACTTTTTTATTTCACGGAACAACCTTAGTCCCCAATTGATTCGGATAATCGACGCTCTACTGTAATTGTGTACTTATAAATATAATATTTCGTTCAGCAGGTTCAATAACCAAAAATACTATTTATTCAATTCATCTACATATGCATTTCGAATTGACATAAACTCTAACCTTCATCAGTGTTGTATAGCGTACTTTTTACGTATTCTTAAAAATACAATAGATACTTTTTTATTTCACGGGTAAGACAATTGTGTGGAATTTATAAAGTTTTTTATCATTTCCAATGCGCTGTACTTAAAATAGGATTTATATACTAAGAATATTCTGTTATCGTTTTTTGATCCTTTTTTATTATATAAAAATCTTTCTTATATAAAGATTTTTATTAATAAAAAGGGTGTGAATGTATATAAAGGTTAACATTATTAACATTTGAAACAATGGCAATTAGTACAATCAATGCAGTTACAACTTAAGAAAACATGACAAAAAGTCTTTAGTAAATAATAATTGTAAACAGCTTTATTAAATACTTGCAATTAGTTTATCCGATGTGATATATGAAAAGTGTACAGTTTACTCTTCTAAACAAACCGTACAAGGTCTGTTCAAAAAGTATCGGACCTTTGGTCGGCAAAAATAAATTTATTGATTTTGATGTACAAAACCCTAATCCCCTTCAAAGTAGTCTCCTTGGTAATGTATACACTTCTCCCAGTGTTCCTGACATTGCTGGAAACACTGCTGGAACTCATCTTTTGGAATGGCTATCAGCCGGTCTGTCGGATTTTGCACGATGTCTTCTCTCGACTAAATTCGGGTTCCTTTTACCATTTCCAGCGTGTGAAATAGCCAAAAGTCACACGGAGCCATGTGGGGAGAGTACGGAGCGTGACGAACCACAGGAGTGTTATGTTTGGCAACGAAAGACCGAATTAGATGCGCAGAATGGGCGGATGCGTTATCACGATGGAGCTGCCAAGTTTTGATCGACCACAGATCCGGTCGTTTGCGTCGCACAGCATCGGAAAGACGACGAGGACCTCCTGGTAGTACTCCTTTGCGATGGTTTGGCCTCGTGGTGCGTACTCACGACACACCACCCCACGAGAGTCGAAAAAACTGTCAACATGACCTTTAATATTGCTGCGGACCTGCCGCGCTTTTTTTGGTTTCGAGGATCATCCCCGAAAGCCTGCTGAATCTTGCGAATGGTTTACGCTTGGGTATCGCCAAGGTTTTGGCAAAATTTGATGAAATATCGCTGCTCACGTTGTTCAGTAATTTTCCAGCTTAGTGGAATCCGACGAGAGCGCACTACAAGACCTCACTCATAAGCCGATTGCCAACGACTGACGCTTCCTGCAGGCGGGAAAAAATTCAGGGTTGTGAATGACTGTCCCCTCCACAACTCCACCGAAGGAGGCCTCTCGCGCATCATTGGTTTACGCGGAAAAAAAAAGGTCCGATACTTTTTGAACAGACCTTGTATATTGCGGCTTCGGTTGTCTGCTTGCCAGTGGAAGAAGAGAAGATAAGAGAATAACAATATTTTCTCATATATATTCCATTGTCATCATTTCAAGTTAAAAATAATCTCTAATATTTTAAGTTTTAATATAATAAAAATTTAATATTTTAAATTTTTATCTTTATTACATTAATAACACGAAGAAATCAGTCTCCACTGTACTCGGCTAGAGATGGTTCGGTTAAGCTTTTGTTTAAGTAAAATTTCGGCTCTTTCGTCAGAGTTTTGTTTATGTTCCCAATTCCCTAATCACTTAATTATTTAACTACTTCTTAAGTAGAAATTAGTCGAAACCGGTTACTTTGTTCTTGAATATTTGTAGTCTCGGGAAAAAAGTAGAAACACAAGTTTTATGACAAACGGTGCTTTTCTTTTTTCTGGGTCACGTTACGCTATGCATTTCTTTAATTTGATCGTATGGCTTGAGATGATGTGTGTTTTGTTTCTATTTTACAGTTGC